GCGATCGCATTTGCGATCGCTAAAACGGACACGTAGAGCGAATTCATCGCTCTACGAGGCGCCCGTTGTGCGAGGCACCACTGTATATCTGCCATACATCTGCACACAAAAGACCAGTTAATGACACCTATCAATCACGCCCATCTCCTCCTTATCACAACAATACACCCACAACACAAAACATGCGTATCACCATAATCATCCAATCTCCTGAAAGGGACAAAAAGTGATCTCACAGCTATAAATACTGAACTATCCAACAGACTACACCGGATCACAGACAGAGTTCTGACTCCTGTCCTCTGAAGATGCCGGCCACAGAGACTGGCGAAACGTTAGGAAGAAAAACCTTAAGAACACGGCCAAACAGCCTGGAAAACCCACAAGAACCAGCAACACAAAAATTAACTCATAAAAATGCATCTAAGTGGGAACAGTAGTTTCTAGTCTCTGTAGACTGCCAAAATAACCCCTCTTTACATCTCCTCATGAATTCCTGTAGGGATATCATATTTTACAGGGACACTGGAAATGCGTGGGGGCAATAACAGAGAAGGATTTTTAAAATATACACTCAGGTTGGACTGCTTTGGTTGTTGGTACCTTTAGAAGGGCAGTTCAAGATGATCTTTGTTGGGGAGGGGACTCGTACAGGCAGTCCAAGAACTATAAATTGAACCCAGAAAACCACTGGCAACCAACACGGCTGGCACAAAGCAGATGTTATATGATCATAAAAGGAAGCTCCCTTTAATAACCTGGCTGCCATGTGTTATACCAGTTGTTGCTTCTGAGTTATCTTCAAAGGTAGCCCCACACAGCAAATTTTAGTAGTCTAATCTTGAGTGGCATTCTATTTTATTTATATGTTTAAGATATTTATATAGCACCTTTCTACTGAAGGATTCAAGGCAGCTTCCAGTATTTAAAACAAACAACCAAATAATAAATTATTACAATATGAAAAAGCATTAAACCAATATCATAAACACAAGTAAAACACAGAATAAAACGCTCCCTTAAAAAAGAGAGACCAGCATGGCCACATCAGCCTTGCCTAAGGAGAGTTTCCACAACAGGGACAGATGACAGGATTCTGACCTGGCCATGGTTTCCTGCTGGTCTCCAGGAAGAACGCTGGGTCCAAGAAGTCACCAAAACTCCTTTCTTGATTCACAAGGGAAATTTTTTTCCTCTATCAATCATTAGGGAAATGACAGCTGGATTTGTCAGTTGCTGAGTGCCAATCTTGTTCCTGTTTTGTCTGGATTCTGCTTCAGTTTGTTGACCTTCAGCTACTGGACCACAGCCTCCAGACCATGACTAAGCACTGTCGCAACGGCCTCTGCTTGCTCAGTTAATGTAAGATGTAGCTGGGTGTCATCAGCATATTGATGGCACATTTATGTGCTTTTTAACATGCTTTCTAAATACCCACAAAAGAGCCACGTCACAAACTAGGGTTGCAGGATTAAATCCATTGATTTCAAGAGCTGAGCTTGGAAAACGAAAAGAACCGGAGAAACCCAACTCATACAGGGGTACAAAAGCTCATGTTGGGTTACTAAAGGGACTCTCTGTATCATTTTCCTCCAACCTAATGGACTCCAAATGTATTGGACTATGATGATCTATTATATCCCACCCCACATAGCCAAAATGGGAGTTGTAGTCTATTATATCTAGAAGGATCTCAGTTCTGGCTTGAGCTTCTAATATAGACACAAGCCCTTGTGTCCTATTTGCCTTCCAGGTTGTTTCCAAAAACAACCATAAATAAAACAAAATAAAAAATAAACATGAGGACTCACCAGCTTTTCCAGTTCCATGATCCTCTTTTCTTGCTGATGAATAAGGTGATTTTTCATCTCTAAAACTTGTTTAAGGCTAGCCATGTCTTCCTCTAAATGCTGGTATGGAGCCAGTGCAACCTAAGCGAGAACAGCCGTTGAGATACAGGAATTCTGGAACTCCCCAAGAAGGTTATTCCTGCTCATAAAGAGGAAGCTTTTCCCCACCCAACTGAGGAAGCCTTTTCTTCCAGTCTCCAGGTAGTTCTTTGTGGGCCATACTGGATGGTTCAGTGGGCTGGGTTAGGTCCATGGGCCAGGGGCTCTCCTCCCATTAGGGAGACCAGATGAAAAAGAGGACAGGGTTCTTATCTTTCTGCAGATAAGGAACTTTTAGCTGGTGTACCTTACACTGGCATTTCTGCTTCTAAGCAACTGTTAAACATACAGGAACCCTGTCCTCATTCTCATCTGGCCACCCACCTCTCATGCTCTCGATGGAATTCTGCAATTCAATAAAGTGGGTAATTGTTCTCACAGTAGGAGAGATGTCTGGTGACAAAGAAAAAGGTAAATACAAGGTACAAATGAAGAGTTGATAATTCCACATCTACAGAAAACTCGCTTCCTGTGGGTATCATTTGGAAAAAGGATCTGCTTTTATCCTACTTTCAAATATTCAAGCAATTACAAAGACCTGTTCCCACTCATGCACTTTTCTGATCTTGCTTATCAACTGGAAGATCAGTCAGAGACAAGAAGGAAGACAGGAAGGAAGACATTTGTGGTGCTATTAATCTTTCTGTGGATATCTCACTTGCTTACAACTAACACCAGTGGTGCTACACGCTTCTATGGCATCTTTTCTGGTGATTACTACCATGTATGGCATTCCTTTATGTCACACAGAGGGAAACTTGCTCTCACTCCCTCATGGCAACTGCTGTGTCTTCATTATTATCACACTTCTAAAAGGTTTTTACTTTGGCCTTTTGGGCTTTCACTCTATTATAGATTTATGGCATTAATAATCAGAACAGAGGTGTGATTGCAATAGAAATGAAATATTCTTATGTACTGACAAGTTGCTTCCGACCTATGAATGAGTGACCTCCAGAAGGATATAGAAACAAAATATAATATACCATTAACACATTAGATGTACTCCCCCCTCACACCAGCAATTTAACTCTTAGAGTGCCAGTTACCCTATTCTTAGTTTAACCTTGGGTCCCTAATGGGGAAAAGGGTGGCATATCAAGCAAGCCACCTTTTTCCCCATTGCAAGCAAGCAATATTCTACATTTCAAGCAAGCAAGCAAGCAAGCAAGCAAGCAAGCAAGCAAGCAAGCAAGCAAGTAAGCAAACAAACAAAAACAGACAGACCAACAGACATGATCCTTTCCCACAGTCTCTCTTCATAAATCCCATCCATTCTTACACTCCCTGTTCTCCCAAATTTAAGCACCTACCGCTCTTCATTACATTATTCCTAACTGTTTCAACAATTGCTCAGTTCCTATCAATCTACTTTCAAACATTCTACCCAGCTCACCCTCACCCCTTGATTCTACCTGCCTTTAATACATTCCTCTTTTCCAAACTAATTCACTTCTGCTTGCTCACATCACTTCATATTTACACCCTCTCTGATTCTCTCTCTTCACCAATCATGGTCAATTTGCAAATTTCCTCTCCACTATACTTTCTGTGACATACCACAATACAAATCAAATCAAATCAAAGAGCAGAGTTTATTTATCAACTATAAGTCATTAAAATACGTTAAAATAAAATAAAAGCAGCAGGTGAGATGATTAATTAAAAAGCAAATACAATGAGACGTAAATAGGAATCAAAAAGACAAAGGTACAGGAAACAAGCGAGCTCGGAGGTTAATTGCAGCCAAGGCAAAGTTTGCCACGTTTAAGGTGGTATTGGCGTTGATGTCAGCCAGGAGCCAACAGACCTGGGCGAGATTAGGTCTGTCTTGGATGGAAGTCAGAGAACTTGCCAAAAACCTTGATCGAGGGGAGTGGTAATGTGGACATCTCAAAAGGTAGTGAGTGATGTCTTCGACTTCTCCCAGGTGGCAAGGACAAATTCTTAGATGATAGGGCAGATTCTCGTGTCTGCCCTCTAACACTCTTGAAGGCATACATTGAAACATACCACAATACATTGAACAAAGTATATATAATCACAGCATCCCCCTTTTTTCCCCTATGCTGTTGTTTGTATGTGCTGTCAATCTCCTTCCTACTTACAGCAAATCTTTCAATAAGTAACCTCCAAAAAGCTCAATCTGTTGTCACCTCTGCTTGGCCTTGCAAGGTAAACACTGTGGTTCTTTTCATCATTTATTGTTTTCTTTATTGTTTTTGTGAGTGGTATTAAATTATTTGACAGCCAGTGGCTGAAATCTTGTTGTGCAATTATACCAAAAGCATAACTTTTAGTAGCAAATTGCTGCAAGTTAAGAAATCCTCATAGCTGTTATTTGTTGTACACCAAGTCGTGTGACTTGGCATGCGACACAGAGAGCCTACAGAGAGTTCTTAACTCATGGCGAGTCACTACGAAAAGTTACACATTTTGCATAACTGTGCAACAGGATTTCAGATAGTATGTTATAATGGGTAGTATGTTAGACCAGAGTTCAAATTCCTACTCAGTCACAGAAACTCAGGATGGGGGTGGCAATGGTGAACCACTTCTTAAACATTTCACATACCTTGAAAGCTTTCTTAGGATTGCCATAAGGCAGAAGCAACTTGATGGTGCATAACAGTAACATTAAAAGACAAATATGTACTTCTCAGTTACCTCTAATTGTTCTTCAGTGTTTTTCTTCAATGCCTCTTCAAACCGTTTTGCCTTGTCCTTTAGAGACTGACTCTGGAAAGTGAGAGTGTCTACCTGATCCTGTAATTAACATCAAGCACAAATATATTTTGTCTGAAATACGTCCGCTAGACTTAAGAGAAATACTTTTAGGCATTGGTGCTGATAGAAATAAACTCCATAGCCCTGTTCACAGACATTAAAGCCTCAATCCAATTATTATTTTTTCAATAATTTAAATAGGCTCACAGAATCGATGAAATATATGTAATAGCTTAGATACAGGTTCCTGCTGATTCAGCAGGTCTACTCTGGCAGGGACTAACCACTAATTTCAGGCCAATGTGAAACAAACACAACAGTAGGAAATGGGGCTGGGCTGTGTTGCTCCACTGTTGATATCTTAGGCATTATCCAAGGCTCTTATGGAGTTCATGCACATGACACAGATCTGTTTAGAAGATATGCCTACATGTATATGGATGTGTGCAAGCAGGTGTCAGTGCAACTCTGGACCGCTGCATAATCAAGGTTCTGAGTATTGTGAAAGTCCCCTTCTGCACATGTTGGTGCTATATATGCAAATACTACAGGGAGACCTAAAGAACAAGCACAATGCTTGAACAGGGCTAACTGGGGCTGTTCATACTGTCTGATTTCTTCAACCCTCAACTGAAGCCAATATGAGCTTTAAATCTGACTGATTTCAGAGAAGGGGGCAATGTTTTGGGTGGTGGGCTAACATCTGACCCAGCTTGTTCTTCCAGTTTGATTCCAGAGGGCAACATGGCTCCTCGGACTGTTGTAGCTCCCCATTCTGACCTAGCTTAAGGAGCACCAGTTAAGTCAGGAGGGGCGCATACAAGGATCTCCATCTGAGTCAGTCTCAGATCTGCCATTCTGAGATGGTTGCTCCATTTTGCCAAATCATAGGCCTTGGGCTGCTAGAAGGCACATCACTACAAGAGAAGGTTTCTAGCAAGTTATACGATTTGCATCTCATGTAAGCACTGACCTGGAGTGACAGACGCAACTTCTCAAAATTTTCCTCAAGTTCTTTCTTTTCCAGCTCATGGGCAGACTTCAGTTCTACAGGAAATTTAAAAATAAAAAAAATAGGAACAATTAACAGTGGCTTGAAAGCCCTTATTTGCTTCATCCATTGTCCACAAATCCTAGGCTGGAAGTGGAGAAGTGTGAAATATTGCTTTGCACACAAGAAACAAAAGCAAAGCAAAAACAATGTGTGCTGCTTATGTACCTCCCCATAACACTTTAAGCACTCTCTGGGTGCTTACAGTTTTAATTATACAGGCTACACATTGCCTCCCCCCCCTCCAGCAAGCTGGGTACTCAATTTACCAACCTCAGAAAGATGGAAGACTGAGTCAGCCTTGAGCCTGCTATCTGAGACCATCACGATCGAACTCAAGCCATGAGCAGAGTCTTGACTGCAGTACTGCAGTTTAACCACTGCACCACAAGACGTTCTCAAGAAAGTGTAATTCCTCACATTCCATAGTCAGTAGGGCCTCTGTAGCATTCCAAGCTTTACTGTCGAGCCAAGGTGCAACAAAGGTTTGTTTAAGCTGTCCTAAATAGTTCAATGAGCTGGATGCCTAATTGTGGAGCTAAAGGTCAGGAGTTTGATTCCCAATTGTACCTCCCTGGAGAAGAACCAGCCTGTATAGCTTTGGATGAGCTGCCTAGTCTAAAGCTGCCTTCTTCAGAACGGAATGGTAAAACCACTTCTGTGTACTCTATACTTAGAAAACCTTAGAAAGGACAGAATCAACATGTCAGCAAAAAAAGTTGGAAAGCTCCAGACAGACAAAGGTGTGGTCACTGAAATGGACATCCTAGGCATTACACAGGCCCACTGGTGTCATAATCATAGTAAGCCGGATAGCAGCACATTTCCATGTTGAATAACAACTGGAAAAAAATCAGTAATAATTATTTTACCTACAGCTATGAATGGAGTAACTGCTAATACAAACTATGTGGGTTGTATCCAGTGCAAGACTATTCTTCTTTTTGATACAAAGCATTAGATGACACTAAAATAAGCTGTAGTATAATAATTTTTAAAGAGTGTGCTTAAAAAATATTAAAATGTTCCCATGGAGCTTAACCTTGCAGCTGACATGTTAACCTCTGGAAGATATCAGAATAAACTTAAGGCCACTAAAAGAAGTGATTGTTCCCAACTAGCAGAATCCACTTCTAACCTTCCTGTGTTGTCCTTGACCTTATTTCTTTCTAACAAAAAACATCTTTACATCTGGGACAGGAAGCAACAGTTAGAACTGGATATGGAACAACTAATTGGTTCAAAATTGGGATGGGGGTTTGACAAGGCTGTATATTGTCTCCCTGCTTATTTAACTTATATGCAGAATACATTATGTGAAAGGCAGGACTGGATGAATCCCAAGCCGGAATTAAGATTGCTGGAAGAAATATCAACAACCTCAGATATGCAGATGATACCACTCTGATGGCGGAAAGTGAGGAGAAATTGAAGAACCTCTTAATGAGGGTGAAAGTGAGAGTGCCAAAAATGGTCTGAAGCTCAACATCAAAAACACTAAGATCATGGCCACTGGTCCCATCACCTCTTGGCAAGTACAGGGGGAAGATATGGAGGCAGTGACAGATTTTACTTTCTTGGCCTCCATGATCACTGGAGATGGTGACAGCAGCCACGAAATTAAAAGATGCCTGCTTCTTGGGAGGAAATGACAAACCTAGACAGCTTCTTAAAAAGCAGAGACATCACCTTGCTGACAAAAGTCCACATAGCCAAAGGAATCATTTTTCCTGTTGTGATGTATGGAAGTGCGAGCTGGACCATAAAGAAGGCTGACCGCCGAAGAATTGATGCTTTTGAATTGTGGTGCTGTGGAGATTCTTGAAAGTCCCTTGGATTGCAAGGAGAACAAAACTATCAATTCTGAAATACATCAACCCTGAGTGCTCACTGGAAGGACAGATCCTGAAGCTGAGGCTCCAATACTTTGGCCATCTGATGAGAAGAGAAGACTCCCTGGAAAAGACCCTGATGTTGGGAAAATGTGAAGGTAAGAGGAGAAGGGGACAACAGAGGACGAGATGGTTGGACAGTGTCATCGAAGCTACCAACATGAATTTGACCAAACTCCGGGAGGCAGTGGAAGACAGGAGGGCCTGGCATGTTCTGGTCCATGGGGTCACAAAGAGTGGGGCACGACTTAATGACTAAACAACAACAACAATGGAACTGAAATAGCATTGGTCACTCTGTAATATGATCTCCTGAGGGAGGCAGGCAGGGGGAGTACAACCTTGCTGGTCCTCTTACATCTTTCTGCTGCCTTTGATATAATCAACCATGCTATCCTTCTGAGGCAGCTATCAAACTTGAGACTTGAGGGGGTTCTGTTCTTCAGTGGTTCTAGTTCTTCCATGAGGGCCACTCAGATGGTACAACTTGGAGAGGCAATATTCATCCCTTGGGACCTCTGCTATGAGGTCCCCCAGGGATTGGCCATTTCTCCAATGCTTTTCAATATCTACATGAAGCTGCAGGAAGAAGTCATATGGAGCGCTAGAGTTTGTTGTCATCAATATGCAGATGGCACACAACTCTATCTTTCCTCTTCCTCATCTGCAGGTGATGCAGTGCAGGTCCTTGAAAGCTGCCTGGTGTTGATAATGCCTGGATGAAGGCCAATAAACTGAAACTGAATCCAGCCAAGATGGAGATCCTACTGTTGGGAGCATTGCTAGATGGTTAGAGGAACATCTACATGACCTCAATGGGATCACACTCCCCCTGACGTATCAGGTTCATAGCTTGTGTGTGCTCTTGGAACCAGCTCTCTCTATGGAGGCACAAATACCTACTGTAGCCAAGCCTGCCTTTCATGAATTTTGGTTGACTGCACACCTGCAACTCTACCTGGAGAAAGAATACCTAACAATATTGATTCAGGCATTGGTGATCTCTAAAATAGACTGCTGCAATGCTGTCTATGTTGGGCTCCCCTTGAACTTTGCATGGAAACCACATGAAGGCCAAAATGCAGTGGCAAGATTGATCAAAGGTACCAGCAGATATAAACATGTATCTCCTGTCTTGGCACATCTTCATTGGCTCCCATTAGTTTCCATGCCAGACTGAAGGTGTTGGACAGGACCTATAAAGCCCTTAATGGTTTAGGATCTTGGTATTTGTCAAAATGTCTCTCCCACACACAAAAATACAACAACTCCCTGACCCATCTGCTCCTTTCAGTCCATGATGCTAAAAATGCTGACACCCAAGGAGGCCAAAAGAGTCAATACTACCGTGTTTCTCCGATAATAAGAAGAGTCAATAGTAGAAAATGTTATTTTTCAGTTGTAGCCCCTTTCCTTTGGATCAGGCTTCCAACAGAAGTTTTTCAGGTGCCTTCCCTCTTAGTTTGGAAGAAATAATAAAAAACAGTATTACTTTTAAACAAACAAATAAATAAATAAATGCTTGAAGTGGCGTTTTAATAGTGCTTTATCACCTGATATGCTCTACTCTGTTTAATAGTAGAAAATGTTATTTTTCAGTTGTAGCCCCTTTCCTTTGGATCAGGCTTCCAACAGAAGTTTTTCAGGTGCCTTCCCTCTTAGTTTGGAAGAAATAATAAAAAACAGTATTACTTTTAAACAAACAAATAAATAAATAAATGCTTGAAGTGGCGTTTTAATAGTGCTTTATCACCTGATATGCTCTACTCTGTTTAATTTGTTTAATTCATCTAAGATAGGCTAGAGACCAATGTTATCCTATTTTATGGTATTTACTGCAAGGTACTTTGTTTCATTTATTATCATGTGATTTTAATGTGTTTGATAGATAGATAAATAACTCACTCACTCATTCAACTACAGTGGTGTCCCGTATAGCGACGTTAATCCGTTCCAGGATTAACGTCGCTATACGGAAACATCGTAAAGCGAAATTAAAAAGCCCATTGAAACGCATTAAAACCTGGTTATTGCATTCCAATGGACTAAAAACTGGCAGGGACAGGGTGGGTGGGGGATCCTGAAGGCTTCCAGGCAAAAGCCTGGAACCCTTCAGGACCCCCCCTCCCTGTCCCCGCCGCCCCGCGAATTAACCTTTGCAAACACATTTCAACTCTCAAAGCATTCTAAAACAGAAGAAGATTGGGTCATGAATTTGGCTCATCGCCTATTCTTCTCATACTCAGATACTAGCTGCAAAAAGTATATAATACAAAGTAGACAACTTAGGAATCATTTGGAAAACATTAATGCCTTAACACTGAAAAGATTAACAAATACTTAACAAGCAGGAATCCATTCTTTTTACATAGATCTGCACATTGCATATAAATGGCCAGAAATGGCTCTACTGTCCAACATTAATAATTCCAACCTCAAGACTATAGCAGTAGAGCCATTTTTGCTTTAGTGATAAATTTCCCCATAACTGTTCCTGTCTTCTCCTTTAAAGCATTATCTTTATGACTTTAATTCAGGTAGATGAATTAGGTAGGGAGGTAGTCATTCCCTCTGGCAATCAGGTAATGCCACTAGCTCGTCAGAAAGATGCCATAGCAACATTTATGCCTTCTTAGCCTGCTAGGGGAGGCTCAGTGGTAGAGGACAAATGATGCATGCAAAAGGCCAATCTGTGCCATCACCCTTTAAGAAGGACCTCAAGGAACAAGGCTGGAAAAGAATCCTGTTTGAGATGTGCAGAACCTCAGGCCTTGGGGTAGAATCTGGCCCTCCTGGGCTTCCTTGGATGACTGTGTCCCCTTCACCATGACACCATAATTTGGCACTTTTTCAGCTTTTTCTGGCATTTTAAATCATACCCTTTCACCTCCATTGCCATTGGAATGCTACTGGACTATGGCTTTTGTTTAGAACGTCTCTAAAACTGACACTGCTATAGTTTTGAGGTTGGAATTATTAATGTTGGACAGTAGAGCCATTTCTGGCCATTTATATGCAATAGGTGAGGTAGCTCATTCTTGCTGGAAGAGCATGGCCAGTTATCGGGGCTTGCCATAACCTTATACATACTGAGGCAGCCGACCCAGCTGGCAGATGCTGTTCCAGCATTTGGCTCACAGCTATTTCCTCTGAACTCTCCAGCTGTTCTCTCTGGTTGTTAAGTCTGTGCAGAACATACAGCATCAGTGGCCCATGGAACAAGCACAGGGTGTGGGGAGGCAAACCTCATCCTTTCTGCCTAGTCCAACCACTCGTGCAAAAACTCTCATGAGTTACTATCTCCAAATCCAGGAGGAATCCACCTTTGTCAGTGTTACCTTGGACTTTGAGCTCATATTCCTCCTGAAGTTCGACAAGGGCAACTGTGTGGCTGTTTTCCATTGCAGACACGGTTGCTTCCTGAGCTGTTGTCATGTCTTCCACCTGATCAAAGAAACAAAGCAATGCAATGAGATAAGATCAAGATAGCTTCCAAGGGAGACATCTCAAAATCAATTGCAGAGATGTTATCTATTGCAGTGGTTCTCAACCTTGGGTCCCCAGGTGTTCTTTGACTAAAACTCCCAGAAACCATCACCACTAGCTGTCCTGGCTAGGATTTCTGGGAACTGTAGTCCAAGAACATCCGGTGACCCAAGGTTGAGAACACTGATCTATTGGATACAGTTTATGGCACCTATAAGCTGTCAATAGTTTCAGAGACCCTGTGCCAGTAAAATATCAGTTGCTTGGAAGAAAAGAAAAGAAAGAGTGATTGTCCTTGTGCCAGGTTTGTTGGATTCCCACTGCTGACTGGTTGGGCACTGGGGAAAAGAATGCTGGACTAGATAGGCCTAATTAAGCATGTGACTACAGTGAAAAAAAAATGTGGGAAATGCTCTGCATTTGGGGTGGCTGATTCACATTTTTTTCCCATAGACCACATGACTTAAAGGGAAATGTGCATCAGCCTGGAGTTTTGTCCCTCAAATCTATAGTTTCCCTCCGCCAAAGCCTCCCATGACAAGCCTTCTTTTTTTAACAACTTAAAAACAAAGCCAGCAAGTCCTTTCTTTTCTTTTTCAGTTCAGTTCAAGTTTATTGTATTAGCTAAAAGCCGTCACAATTGTTTAAAATACAGATATGGTCAATTAAAACCATGATAAGTTTTTTTTTAAAAAAAACAGCTGGGCATCACTGCTGGTGTGAGAGGGAGAACAAGAAAATAAAATGAAGAGGAAATTAGCACTCTCTCCTTGTTCGTAGCTTATCACAGCTTATTATGCAGTTGTTCTGTGCCACCTGCTGGGCTACAAGAGAGCTACATCAACAAGCTGCAAACAAGGCTTTCCTGTGCCGCTGGCTAATTCAAACTAACTTGGGATAACATGGTATGACTTCACAGCAATTGAATGGGAGTAAATCTGCATTTCCCTTGCTGTATAGTCGCACCCTAAGTAACATTCTTCTTTTACTCTTGGATTCCATTACTCCCTAAGATTACCTTGCTGATCCAGTTTGTTCTAACTCAGTTTTGGGTACAAATATCCAGCTTGTACAAGAAAGGTGTCTTCACCTTCACTTGGTGAAGGACATCTTGAATCTCCATGTTGCTTGTGTTTATGAATACATATATATGATTAGAAACATAGAAGGTTGTCTTCTGTTGAGTCATACCACTGGACAATTGAGCTTAATATTGCCAATACAGCAACCTCTTGTAGCAATTGTATTTCCTGGCATCAGATGAGAACCCTTCTTGGAGATGTCAGGGGATGAACCTGAGACCTCTTGCATGCAAAGTTAGGTTCTCTACCAAACTGAGATATTCTGTTCTCCATGATCAAAGGCTAGCTTGTTTCCATGTCACTTCCCCACAATTTAAAGTGGATGAAAATAAACCCCACAGACGGAAACACAGGTTGCTTCATGCTGGTTTATATTCTCTTTTTCTTAAATGTGTCAACTTATTACTGCTCTACGTGCTCTTCATTCCTTTGTTTCCCTTTAGTTAATGCTGGGGAAGTTACTTAAAATAATCTCTCGTTTGATGTAGGACTGACACATGCACAGCTGCTGATCTGAAAATATTGAATGCACAAGTAAGAAAGCACAGCCCAGGACACAATATGATTATTGTTGCACTGCATTTAAAACATTTTTCTGTGGCTCTTCAGTAAAGTGTCCAGGGTGGTTCAGAGCAGAAATAACGTATCAGGCGAAAACAAAGGAAAAACAAAAAATAAAGAAGACTAAAACGTTGTGGCACCTTAAAGACTAACTGCTATATTTTAATGTGAGCTTTCATGGACAAGTCCACTTCCTTAGACAGAATTAACAGCATTCAGAGTAGAAAGCAACAGTTAAAAATGAACCATAAACGTCAACATGATTGTTTTAAAACTCTGTAGTCACCTTAAATTTAAAAAATGCCTTAAAAACAAAAAGTTATCAGCCTGGCATTGGAATGATATGGAAAGACTGGAGGTGGGCTTTCACCATCATGGATCACTGTCCAGTCACCACCTGCCTAACATGAAATGGCTAGGAGAAGTAGACAAGGGCCTTGGTTTGACCCACTTGTGTTTCAGTGTTTAGGCTCATTTGTTGTTTCAGCATTTTGGAAGTGGGTGATGAGGTGCCTTTTTGACACTGTCTGCTAATTTCACATCCAGCAGTCATGAGTGAAATCCTATCTCACTAATTTTTAAAAGAAAGGAATTTGGGGGCGTTCGGGCCTACTGTGAATGATCTGTGGAATGGTGATGTGAGGAAAACCACTCAAAAGGACATGAGTAAATAAGCCAGGCGTGGGCACGGGTTTGATGTGGTCATGGTCCTAAACTGCAGTCACTAGCCTTACTCAGGGGACTTACCATTAACCAGAGCTTGGAAACATGATCTTTTGGGGCCACATGTCTCAGAAAGCCCTAGCCAGCGTAGCTATGCTGGGTGGAGGATTCTGAGAGTTGAGGTTTCAAAAAAAGAGAGAACTTTCCTGTGCTCTGTGATCAGTGTAACAAAGCTGACCTTTTCTTGATGCCGAGTCTTGATCCTGGCAAGCTCTGTCTGGTGATCTTCTTGCAGCCGCTCTATCTCTGCATTGCACTGTGACTGGAGCCGCTCTTCAAGCTCCTGAAGCTCTTCCTGTTGCTCCCAACCAAGCTTCTTCAGCTTACTCTCAAACCTCTTTTCCAGCTCTTCCTTCTCTTTTTGTAATTTCTCATACCTCGAGGCATGGAGGGCTGCGGAGAGAACGGCCATGCATTAAGGCTCTGAAGAGAATCTAGAAACTGACCGATTTCCTTTGCCTCAAATCCTGTAGCTCCATTAGGAGCAAGCTAAATCTGCTAGGCCAGCAGAACATCGGACCCCACCAAGCTGGTGAGGTCCTGAAACAAAAGCATGGCCACCGCGCTGGCTGGAAGATTTCAGAGACCAGAAGAATATCTTTCCTAAGCTCTAGATACAGTACTGCAGTCATCAAAATATTGGAGTTAACTATGAGAGATGCAGAGAGGCATGAAATGCAAGGGAGCAGGTAGCTACAGCAGCTCCTCCTTAGCTGCTTCTCAAAGTGAGACTAATGCTATGGACCAAGATAACATGCATATAAAAATACAAACCTACAGTTAGGGGACATGGTGGCGCTGCGGGCTAGTGCATATAAAAATACAAACCTACAGTTAGTACCTACCAAACTACAGTAAACCCAAAGGCCAAATACTATTTGGAAAAGATGCAGAAAAAGATGGCTGCCCTAAGAGTAGTGGCTGCACTTCAATTAGTGAAGTTTGTTTTTGACTTGTACAGAATCTTTAAAAAGTTTTAAAGTATCTGTATGTATTTTTCCCCATTTTATGTTGAGTTGTATATGGCAGTTAATAAAATTCTAATATTCTTTTTTAAATGGCTAAAGACAACTAGCTTCAATACCTATCTTACATATAAGGAATGCAAAGACTTGTATACAAGCAATTATTAACTCAAAGCCAGCTACAGCAGCCATTTGGAAACCTATGGTTATATGTGTTACTGCTAAACTCCACCCCACCCCCTGGCAAAAAAAAATCCACCTTACTGATCTAGTACCAATTCCTCGGACACTTCCTGATAAATCCTGAGCTATCATTTCTCAATTCCTAACAAGATTACCTGTAAATCCAAGCCTGATCCACCCTTGGCTCTGCTGATTGATGGTGATTTCAACATTGTTAAGTAATTTGATGAAACACTAAAAATAACCAAGGGCCAGAATCTTGATAGTATCTAAACCCTCCATTCTCAGTTTTGCAGATAGTACATTTGGAAATAAAATAGAAGAAATTTAGTAAAAGTCAGGCAGAAAACGGAAACCTCCTCCTTCTCTTCCAACTTTTTAAAAAAGATCCCTATTTTTAAAAATGGTTAAAGTCAACAGGGAAAATGAAATGAGGAAAAATATAATAAAAAGGAAATATGAATGCTTCCATCCCTCTTTATCTTTTAAAACGAAAATCCAGGGAAGGTTGTAGCACAATAGAAAATGGCCAGTGGTGGATACTGTCCAGATAGATGTGTTCCAGCAAGATCTCTCTGATCATCCAACAAAGGGGAGAAGAGTGCACCATTACTTTGGTCCTAATTAGACAGCAGGCTTTTAAATTTTTTAGTTCTGGACCAGCAGAGTGATTTGCAAAGTGAAGAGTTAAACAAAAGTCAAAAGTATATAATACCTTTTTAGGACTAAGTGTAAACCCATAAAATGTGCTACCTTCTGATTTCTAGAGAACTTTTCATGAAGTGAGATTGTTTTTTAAAAAAAATGAAGAGAGGAAAAAAGGCATGGAAATCCAAATATGTACCAAGGTGTTTCAAGGAGGGAGGAATGTAGTAAGACTAAGATTGGAAAAAGGGGATTTTTGAATCAAGAGAGCCAAGCAGGATCACGTAGCCTTTGGAAAAGCCCACCCGAAAGGTGACACGAAGGGGTTTCTCCTTCTGTGCAAAGACAAACAATAGCAGTATGTATCTAGATGTATCTAGTTAGGGAACACAGGTTCCTCTGAAGGCTTTAGCACAGATAAAACTTCAGGAACCTATCTCTCTCTACTTAAAACTGCTTCAAAGACTGGCTTTGACATCAGCCCAGCCCTACTATTGGCAAAATGAGGGTATGACCAGACAGGGAAGATGGTTTATGTTGGATCACACTGGCAAAGGTCACTCCTTTAAAGCAACTCTCTTGTGATCTGGTCCTGATTTCTCTAATCAAGCGTGTAGTTCTGCCACCAGACCAAAAAGGTACAGACTACACATGGAGCAGGGTTGGGCGGGTTCACAGTTTCCTCTGCAAGACTGAGAACTGCATGCATGGCCCTTTTGTAAACTTTTCCTACAGCACAGACCAACATTCTCTAATTTTCAGCCCCACTGGGGTGGCTGCAACCCTCATGTGTGAGACCCCCCCCCAAAAGCTTCTGTTGCAGCTGGAACCAAAGGGGCTGGAAATGATTGCTGTAGGTACATGGAAGAGGAATGCTGCACTGAGGGGGGTGGAGTTGGCCACACAGCTGTGCAACTTAGAGGGAACTTTGGCACAGACACTTTTCTAATATCTGCTGGTATGCCTGCTGCAATGTGCTTGCTATAGAGCAGGGGTCTCCAAACTACGGCCCACAGGCCACATCCAGCCCGCCTTGCCTTTTTATCTGGCCTGCCATAGGAAGAGGAGGGAAGGGGGACCCAAGTGATCCCCCACCCCCACTCTCTTTGCAAAGACCTCCTTCAGCCCTAGAAAATGTGTAAAATATATGATGTGGCCGTCATACTGAAAAATTTGGAGACCCCTGCTATGGATGGATAGCACAAGGTTGGCATGCATGAAAATACCGCAGATCAGATATTTTGAGAAAATCCCCAGTATTGATTGGTTTGTGGAGAGGCCTTTCTGCAACATTTTAGGCTGATCCCTCCCCTGCTGTTTCCCAGTCTACCAGCTGCCCCTGTCCAGAATCTTACATTTTATTAAAAAGACAAAACAAATTTCTGTATCTCATGAAGACCGACTTTAGGCCTCCTTCAGACAGAGCATTCCTCTCACCCTTTTATTAATAGATGCCACGATTTGTGTTTAAACATTTCTTTTAAAATGTGCTTATTCTGACTCGAAGAACACTGTTACTCTTTAAGAAATCTTTAAGAAATCCATTTCTGTGTCGGAGTTTTTGCTCTCTCTCTCTCTTTTACTCAAGTACTAATTGGAACATTCTGAGTAACGCTCTCGTCGTGGCCATGGGAAGTGCTTGAATCAGCCCTCAGTGGAGGCTGACACCAAAAATAATCCATGCTTTGCAGAGGGATAAAAAGCAGCTGTGAATCATAGACAAAGCACTGGATGTAGAAAGATAAAACAAATGTCATGTGGATGGAAGGAAAGAAATTACATATTAATAATGTCAATGTAGAAGCCTGTATTTCAAGGAGAAGAAATACTCCATCTGGAAGAGCCCTTATACTCCTCTACACGATAAGCCAAACAAAGCAAGGTAGACAAAGACTCTAGTGAAATGGTTATAACAGTGACAGCACAAACATCAACAAGAGTCTCTTCGGTGTAATTCTGATCCCCCAAGAGCTCTCCCATATTTTTCCCATTTAAGGTCTCTTCATTCAAAGAAATGCAATATTTCTGCCATCTGCACTTAGGCATCTGCCACATTCAAGAAATAATAAGCATTGTTTTTTTACATGGGATTAAATGTACAAACAATCCCCGTGATACACGTTCAGTGTGTGATTTAGGATGGAACAAGGCACCCATCCCTGTTGCATGCAATCAAAGAATAACCACAAATGCTAGCAGAGCAGATTTTGCTACTATTTACATATTGGCTGCCACTGCCAGGCTGTTATGAGACAACCCTGCTCAAGAGTTTAATGAAGCATAAGAGATTAAAATTCTCAGCCAAGAACTAGTCCACGACTCCTAAAGCCCATAGTGAAGCCTTGTCAGCAGCTACAGGAAACCCCACCAGTGACTAACACAGCTATCGCTGCAAGAAAACACAGCCAACATCCTATCAAGGGAGTACTAAGAGATCCTTTAATTTCCTTGGACATTTCATGTCTTCTGGCTTACAGAATGAGTGTGACTTCCACAAAATGACGTTACAATGGACTGACAGGCAAAACTCCACATTAAATCACAGCACTTGCTATCACAGTGTTTTCCTGGCAGCAAGTTGACGTGATTTCCCTTGCTGTCTGACCTACCAGCCGAGGCCAATCAAAATGATCAGATCATACTTTTGCACTATTAAAGAGCAGGCCGGGTAGGTGGGGCTCGTCAGCCATGGAAGGCAGCCCATCTAGGAGAAGGAAAACTCCGATTTCAAACCTCCACTGCCTTGTGGCTATATCCACTCATGGAAAAGGCTTCAGGAGTTAACCTCGAGGCAAAATCCGGAGCTGGAGTCCCGAAGGCAGCATGTGTCGTTCTGCCAACTCCTGCGACATTGCTGGAACCAGTTGTATTGGCTCTTGCCTTTCCATTGGACCATTTCAGCAATGTGGAGAGGGGGGATCTGCTGCTTGGGTAACAGCCTATCCTCCATATTACCTTACCCGGGCTTCATGCTCTGGAGAGGACACTCCTCAATTCAGAGCATGTTACCATAGTCTCTCGAGACTGAAGGATGCCTATGCCTATGCTATAATTATGTGGCGTGCTTCGGAAGTATTCAAATGAGCAAATGATACATAACTTATCTCTTAAAATTCCATATGTGGCTGTATTTGCAGCTCCCATAATCCCTCACCACTGGCTATGCTGGCTAGGGGTGTTGGGAGTAGCAGTCCAAGAACATCTGGAGGGTACCATCATCCTCAGTTCTGCTAATACTCATTCATGCTGGAATCCTCTGTCTACACTGGCATCTGTCTTTTGTGACCAGTCAAATCAGAGGACTTTAGATTCTATAGATTTCATGGGCTGTGCGCCCCATCAAAAAGGAGGAAACGTGCCAAGAGGAAAAAGAGACTGAAACAGAAGGTTTGAAATCAAATTGGGAACATGATTTAAAGACAGAAATTGAAACAGAAGATTGGACAAAATTTAGAAGATGAGAGTTTTAAGATTAATGTTGGTAAGAATAAAGGAAATTGAAAAAAATAGTTTAAGGTGGTATATGACCAGTGAAATTGAACATAAAAAATTCAGACTATACTAAGGCCTGTTGGAAATGTGATGAAGGAATTGGCACATATTATCATATGTGGTGGGAGTGCAAATTGATTCAGAAATTTTGGAAATTGATTTTTAAGGACATATGTGATATATTTGGAAAAAATATCGAACTTAC